ACAGAGTTGTCGAAATAATATCGACCAGAACAGAGTTACTTAAGTGTGAGGCCATGTGAGTGAATAACACACACATGAATCTTCATTCCCAAGGAATGCCAAACCACAAAAGTGTCTTCCCACAAATAAGCCAGAACAGAAATTCATCAATTCCAAATTAGGCTATTACCCCAAATAAGCAAAACATTCCTCAAAACAAAATCATGGCATATCCGGATAGCCCTATCAAATCAATCAAAATATCTGTCAAATAAAATGCAAAACAAATACTTACTTTCAATATTAAATTAATTCAAAACATTGAAATAATTTAAAACAAATTTTATGAATCCTCCAAAACGTGATTTCAAATATTTTACAAATAAACAAAATATCAATTTCAAACCTTTAAATAAATCTAAACAAAACTTTATCAAATCATTTAACAATACTTCAAATACTTTGCAAATAAACATAATTTCAATTGCCAAATTAGTTTTCAAATCCATAATAAGACTTGAATTTCATATGCAAGATATCAATTTCAAATCTTCCTATCAAATCCAAAATACATTTTAGTTTTTTGAAATATAACAAATCACTTACGACACTTTTTGAAGGGATACGATAAATTACTTACAATACTTTTTCGAAGGGATATGACAAATTACTTACCTCTTTCAGAAATCTTACGAATCTAATTTACTTCTTCCTTGGTAGTTGTCAACTTAGAGGCCTAGAAACAACCAATATCCAAAATCAATTATTAAATCCTATCAAGGATTTAAAATTCAACCAATTACTAACCCAAATCTTATCTACCCAATTTTCCCATTCAAAACACTTTTTTATGTAAAATAATTAGGAAAGTATGGATTTGGGGCTACAAAACCAGATCTGAAAACTAGGTTAAAAAGCCTCTAAATTCAACAATAACAAATTTTAAAATTAGAAGAATCGATATAAATCAATACGAACACAATTTACAAAAAGTTTCTCAATAAAACCAGCTTAAAAACCTTCTAAACAATTGAAAATTTGGGGATTTTAAATCTGAAAAATTTTCCGTTTTATAAAATAAAACTTCCGAGAATTTTTCATAAAACAATTAACAATTTACTAATTTTTGTAGAAAAATCAGATCTGAAAACCGTATATAAAACCTTTAAAACATGGTAAAAACATATAATTTTTCATGTAAGAATCATAACAACAAACTATAATTTATAGGATACAAATTGGTAAACTTTTTATGCAAAAAGAGTCTCAAAATAACCCAAAAACAGTCTCATAAACAAAAAGATTCAAACCAAAAATTCTGGAAAATTTTTAGGATAAAAAGTCCTTAAAATCTTTTATTCGAAAAAACAAAGGCCTCAAAACTTTTCCCAATAAACTGAATTAAAGAACTACAATTCAAGAAAAATAAACTAAAACAATGAGGAAGAAAATCTTATCGATCTTTGAGAGAAAATACCAAAACTCTTCTTCTTTTCTTTTCTTTTTCTCTTTGAGAGAAAACTAGGTCTAACAGTTTTAAGAAAATAAAACCTACGGTTTAAGAGCTTTTATAACAAATCCTAATGAATCCTTATTTAAAAAGGATAATAAAAAGATAAAGATTTAATACAACTCTTTCTTTTTATTTTTATTTTTTACCAAGAACAAATTATCTTTTAAAAATAATTTCTAAAACAAAAAGGTTTATCCTTGAGAAAATAAAAGAAAACAACTAAAAAATAATAATTTAAATATATATATATATATATATAGATATTTTTTTTCGGTTGTTACAAATAGTTCTTCAAAAGTAATACCCTTCTTTCTTTGTTTTTGTTTCTCTATTTTTTCAATTTCAAAGAAAAATCGAACATTAATGTTCACACACTTCCACTGCGAAATTAAAATCCCTTCAAAATAGTGTTGAGGTCAAGGATGAAGTCTCCTTTAGCAAAAGACTTAAATGAGAATGTCAAGTCAACAAAAGAAACTTATTTCTTTAGGAATCATTAGTCGTGATAGAAAGCATGTTTACTGTTACCGCTTAGTTTGATGTGATTATGTGGTTATATGTCTTTTATGTTTGGGAGACAAGTCCACGTACGTTGCCCGCCAGCACATACGTGGCTAACGCTAATAATTTTAAGGTAAGATTTTATACAATTTATTAGATTTTAAAAAATATATATTACTACTTTTAGAACAACTCTTAAAATATTCTCACTCTCAAACTTATTTGTTATGAAATTCACGTACATAGTGATTAATTAATCTTTTTAAAATTCAAAACATGTTGTTTCAAGAGATGACTTGGTCCACTTTGGTTGAAAAGATCCTTTCATGGCTTTATATATTGTTTTATATGTTTTTTAAATTTTTATTTTTTAAGAATCGGTATGTCTATCATTTTAAAAGTGAAAAACTGTACATTTAAACTACAATTATTGAATTCCACGAGTTTGTATTAAATAAAATTAAAAAAATACATTGCTTTTTCCCAAAAATTTGCCTATCTTTCAATTATTTTTAAACTTCAACCACACCAGGGAAAAAAAATCAAGCTATTGAAAAGGTATAGGACACTGAATTACTATCTTTTACAATTGAGAATGAGATCGCCAACATGGATATAGCTGTTGAAAATGAGATTACATATAATGATTAGTCATAATTGAAAACACTAAACTTCAACTTCTAAAATCGAGGGAAAAAAAAAGCTACAGAAGGTGCATTGAGGGAACTCAAAGTGTTTATTACTGATATTTTTGTTTTTGCAACTTGATTAAATCTGCAGGAGGAAGCCTTTAAGTTTCCAAGAAGATTGAAACTATTATAAGAGGAGTCTTGGAGTTACCAAGATCTTGGTAACGAGACAAATGGTATTCCATGACAGTTGTGAATAGTAAAAAAGTTTGGAGGAAAAAAATTGTCGTAAATCATGGGGGCACATTTTAAAAACTGTCATGAAAATCAAATTTTCAATGACAATGAAAAACTGTCACAAAATAGTTGAGGCGCGATTTTGGTAGGAAAAAACAGTGATCTACGAAAATTTCCATGTTTTATGGCATTTTATAATTGTCAAGAAAAATAAAAAAATTTCAAGTATTCCGTGACAGTTACCTAGACCATTTTAAGAATCTATGACCTACAAAAAGTGTCACAAATGATTTTCAGCGCGTTTTATTTCAGTCAGAAAAACTACAGCTTTATGGATGATATTAATTATTTCTGGATTCTTGGTCGTATCGAGTATAGATTTATGATTAATAGTTTCCCCAAATACTTCATGAAATAAGTAGAAAATGGTATTTGGAATAGTGAGTGCTTACCCTTCGTAATAGTGTCCTTCCTCTTCGGTCCCGAGTTTGAGCCCAGTGGATTTCAATTATTTTTTCAACCCTCTATTATTATATTTTTACAAAATATTACTTTTTACAATAAAAAATAATTTAATTATATTTTTCATTTAAATAAATAATATATTTATTTCGTATCCACGTTTCCTTGCAGAAATTTAATTCATCATGAAAATTAAAATATGATTATAAACATAAAATAATATAAGTTAATTTTAGTTTCACCAAGCATTTCGTAAATAAAGTATTCATATTTAAATTATACTCTTATTATTTTTTTTATTAGAATGAAAGGTAGTCAACTTAATTTAATGCTTAGGAATTAAGTTGGGTTTAAAATTGAAACTAGTTAGGTTCATGAACCTTTAAATTTTTTATAACATAAAATTTTGAATTTTAGATAGAAATTTTTTAATTAAATCTTAGTTTTCAATTTTTTTTTCTTTTATTAGATTCTTGCCCAAATTTTTAAGAATATTAATAGAAACTTTTTGAAAGAAAATAGAAACAAGTAATAATTTTTCTCAATAAAATTAAAAATAAAAACTTAGTAGATATTTCTTTTTATAAAAAAATTAAAATATATAAATAATAACATATTTAGTTAGTTGTGTGAATTGAAAACTCAAGACCACTGAGATTTATAGACACACCGAACACCAACAAAAGATGATTTTATGAAATGTTCAAGTATAATATTAATATAGTAATCACTTTTTCATTCCAAGTAAATAAAATTAAAATAAATTAAATTAACACGCCCTTTTGTGAACTTCTTTCTTCCTCATTTGTGTTCAATGTTCGTTTCAAAAAACCTAAAATTCATCATCTTCCTCACACCGTCGTTCAAGATTTGTTACCTAGATGACACAAATTCACATAATCGATCGCCACACTACAAGAATTATGAATTTTTTCCGACGCTGGGCAAACATCTTTTTTCCGACTAAAGAATAATAGTCTAGACTTTGTCGACTATTAACTAAAATAATCAGGAAAGAAATACATTTTCGACACTTTTATTCTCGATGCTGGGTGAAGTTTCTCTTACCGACGTTTTTGCCTAATAGTCGGGTAAATTTTTTTTTTTATATATTACCACTCCCGACGGTTTTTGAAATAGTCGGTAGAGGTTTATATTCTAGACTATTTAATTATATAGTCACACAAAATTTGTTCTTAATTTTTTAAATTACCACTCCCAGCTATTTTTAGAAAAAAGTCGAATAGTGGACTTTACACCAACATTTTAATAAATTGTTGGGCACTATTGTTTTTTTTTTTTAATATTACAATTCCTGTAACGCCCCGAGATTTCGGGTTATTTTCACTTTAAGATTTAAATCGAGCCTTTGAAATTTTTTTCCCAAGAGGTTAATTTTAATTCTTGGATCTTTTAATTTTGGAGTTCTAATTTTGGGTAAATTAGAATTTAAAATTCCGTTAGTTAAGATAAATTAAGTTTCCAAGTTTTGAAGAGAGACTTTTAATTAAATCTTAATTCAAGTTTTGAAAATTATATTTTCCTTGTGAGTTTAGGGTATTGGGTTTTAAAATTTAGTAATCTTCCAAATAAATTATCCTAATCCTTTTTAAAGTGAATTTCCTTTTAACAAAAGGTTCAGGAAAAGTTCCACCTTATTTATAAGCCTATTAGCATTATTTGATTTATTTACTTTGTGGAAGAGAAAAGAAAAGAAAAAAAAAAAAGAAAACAAACCTAGGGTTTCATCTCTATCTCTTTCTCCTCTCCCACCCCTCTAGCCGCCACACCCCTCCTCTATTTTCCGGCAGCCCATACCCCTCCTCCGGCAACGACGGCACAGCCACGAAACTGCAGACGGCAGCAGCAACGCATCCTCGGCAGCAGCGTGAATCTTCAATCCAGCGACCCAGCCCCACGGCGGTGTTCTCTCTCGATGGCGGCGACCCATTGCAGCAGGCACGGCAACGTCACGACGGAGCAGCCAGCACGATTCTAGCAACTGGACGGCGGCGCGCCCTTCCGACAGCTCTGGTTCGACGATTCTGGTGCAGCGGCGCGGATTGGTTCGAGCAACAGCACCGTTCGGCGATTGTTTTGCCGGCGGTGCGACTCTTCTGCGACCCCGACGCACAGATCTCCAGCGTCGTTAGCAAGACCGTGCGCAGCCTGTGGTTTCCTCTTCAGTGATTCACGATCAGCGGGGTTTAAGTGGGTTCGTGTGACTTTCGACGTTGACCCGCACCTAAACGAAGTGTGATTTGGGTTACCCACCACTTTTTGGACCCAAATTGACGTTACCCATCGCTTTTTGACGTCGAAACAGCCAGCTTAAGGCCTTTCGGACTCGACTTGGGAGCCCGAACCTCCTCGGCGTCAACCCACTTCTAACCCAAGTGGTTTTAGTGTGAGTTAGTGGGTAACGACTCACCTAAACTTAGTTTAAATTATATTTAAGTGTTCTAATCGGTTACTAACCTCGAGATCGTACTTCTTTTGTTTTAGGAAGTCTTCGACAAGCTTAGGAGCTTTAGGATTTTTGTGTAAGTAGTTCTTACTTGGGGGATGGTTGTTGTTTGAATATGTGTGAATTGGTTGACGCCTTTGGTGTGTTTATTATTTATTATTATGTAAGTTGATTGTGTTTTGTGAGTATTGGCTAGAGTTTATAAGTAGTTTAAATGAAATCATGTTGGTGCTGGTTGTTTATAACTGATTTGTGTTGCGTTGTTGGATTTGATGCTTAGTGGTATTTCCGAAGGCATTATGGGTTATGAATGGTTTTATAATTGTATGGTTGTGTTCATAAAAGCATACTGAAATAACGTGGGAGAAATCTGTTGTTTTGCCGTTTATGTTGGACATGTCATTTCAATTTTTAGCTTACTGTTTTTGGTTCTGGAAGCATGCTGGTTTTATTGTGAGTTGAGTGCTACATGGGTCATGGCCTAGACAGTAGGTAGTAGGACTTTGGTGAGAGTTTGGTCCTCAATGAAACGAATGAGTTATGTTGTGTTCTGATTACTATGAAATCTTAGAGTGTTGGATGGGTTTAGGGATATATGTCGGCTACGTCTCTTTTGTAAATTATCTGCGCTGTGGTGTGTAAAGCATGATGAGGGTTGAGAGAAGGGTGTCCTCATGCTGTTGGATGGCCATGCCTGGATGATAGTGACATAGGTTTTGCGTATAACGCATGTTCCATTGTTGTGAGATAATTTCTGCATGGGTCAGGGCTGTAAAGCATGTAGGTCTCTGGTGAGAGTTCTAGGATGTAATAAAGTAAATGGAGAACTAACAGTGCCAAAAAGGCTGGCACGCCACTAGTTGAGTATCGAGGCTCCACGTACAAAGGTCGGGGATCGATACCCCAACTTGGTAGAGATGAGTGTCGAGGCTCCGGGTACAAAGGGTCGGGGGTCGGCACGGTGATTCTAATTTGTTGAATTAGTATTGGGTCTTGATGTGGTGGCGGTCAAGGACCAATACGTTGAGTAGTCGTCGATACCTTGGGGATAAATGTCAAGGGTCGATGCACAGTTCAAGGCCTTGGGGATAAATGGCAAGGTCGAACG